TATTTCCCCTCTAATTTTTATTATTTCCTCTTTTGTACTTATTTTCAATTTGTTTACTTATTGGTTTTCTAATTTTTAAAAATGGATATTCAATTAATTAATCCTTTTTTTTTCTATTTTGTTAATGTATGTTTGTAAGGATATGATTTTCCCCTTGAGGACTGCTTTAGCTACATTTCAGAAATTTTGGTATGTTGTTTCATCATTATCATTTTCTTTTGCATAATTATTGTTTCTATGATTTGTTCTTTGACCTACTCATTTAAAATTGTATTGTTAAGTCTTCCTTTGGGTCTATATCTTTTGTTTATGATCTGTCAACCAATTTCTGTTTTTATTCTGTTAATGGCCTGTAAAGAATGCGTTAACTTTTTCTACCTTTTTACCATATTTTTTGCAATATCTCTGTGCCCTAATATATTGTCATTTTTTGCAAAATTTCCATGTGGTGCCGATATATCCTTTGTTGTATCAGTTAGAAGACACCATAAATCTTTTAACTCCATCAATTTGTTCACTATCATATTTTCCCCTTTATCCATCTGCTGGACTTATCCAAAACTAGGGATTTTGAAGTCTCATGTTACTATTGTTACTGTCTAGGTGTCCTTGGAGCTTATATAATGTTTCCTCTATGAATCTGGATGCTGAGTGATTTCGAGCATGCCAGTTTATTATTGATATTGGTTTGTTGTCTATGGTTCCTTTCCTTAAAATATCGTTTCTGTGTTGATACTTTTTTTATTTTTCGAATGTTTGCATTTGATTTTTTAGATAGCATGATTGCAGTTACTGCTTTTTTGGATTCATATGATGCATAGTGAATTTTTTTCCATCCCCTCATTTTTATTTTCCATACATCTTTGTCTTTTAAATGTATTTCTTTTAAGCAACAGATAGTAGAATTTTGTTTTTTCATGGAATCTGTACTCTTTTTTGTTTTATTGGATTATTTAATCCATTCATATTTAAAATGATAAGAGTTAGGTTTCTATTTTCCTCCTGTCTCTAATATTGAAGGCTTTTCTAATGATGATTCCCCCTCCCCCACTTCTGCTGTAAAAGCAGCATTATGTTGCTCTGGTTACTTTGCTTTAATCTTTATTAAAAGTTGGTCCTGTTCCCACTGGCTCTTGTCCTCTCATCCCTGATCTCCTCTTCTAATTTGTTACCCTTTTTCCTTTGGGATTTTGTTTATTAGTTCCTTTTTCCCTCTCCTGTTTTTATTTGGTTATATAATTCTTCCTCCCCACTTTTTCCTCTCAGCTAATTAAATGGATTTTCCTTTCCTCCCTTTCCATTTACAATTTAATGGGTGAAGAAGAAAGTGGATGACAGAAAAAAGAAGAAGGGGGTAGGGGTTGGGAGAGAGGGAGGGGGAGGAAGAAGAATGAACCTAGCACGGGGAAAAAGCCCACAGCAGTGGAAGCCTCTCCTTAAGTAGAGGCACTGGAGCCCCTGGAGCCCCGGGCTCTGCCCTCAGCCAGAGGATCCAGTCAGAGGAGCAGAGGGGGCTGTGGAGAAGGGAGGACCAGGCAGAGTCCCAGTGATGCACTTCCTGGAGACAGAAGGCATGATGGAGGCTCCAGAGGAGGCATTAGCAGTGGGCCTGGCCCGTAGTGGGTCTGCATTAAAGTAGTACAGAGTTCTTTTTCTCTCCTTTTCTGTTTTCCTTCTCTTTTCTACACCGTATTTCCCATCTTCCTCTGTCCTTTTCCCACTCTCTTCCTTTCCTAGCCTTTTTCCTGTTCTTGCCTCTTCTTTTCCCCTTTCTGTTTCCCCCTCCCCTTATGCTCCTTCCTCTTCCAAGTTTCTCTGTATTACTGCTGTGACCACTTCAAACTCATAGGTCCTGTTGGATTTCAATTCTGCCTTTCCTCAGATGTCCTCATCTGCCTCTCCTATAGGCCATTTATGCTTTTTTCCACCTACGTATCCAAAACTGAATTCATTAGCCTACCTCTCTCATTCCAAGCCCCTCCTTTTGCACATTTCCTTTTTCTGTTCGATATGTTCCCATCCTTTCAGCTGGGACCTCAAAGCTCTTGCTGATGCTTCCCTATTCCTCAGCCCATATCCCATCACTGGCCAAGCCCTTCCCATTCCGTCTCCCAACATAGCATCACAGAATCACAGAATGGAAGAGTCAAAAAGGACCTTCATGGCCCACTAATCCTCCTGACACATAACGTGAACCTCGACTGTAACAAAGCTGATGAGTGGCCAGCCTCCGGGGGGGCTAGGGAGAGGGTCGTTGCAGGGGAGGTGAATAAACCAGTGCTGGTCAGTGAATAAGCATTTATTAAGCACTAACTGTGTGTCATAGACTGTGCTAAGCACTGGGAATGCAAAGGAGGGTAAAAAGACAGGCCCTGCCCTTGAGGAGCTTACAATCTAGTGGAAGAAACAATAGGCAGAAGCTACGTACAAACAGCTACATGTGGGATAAATTGAAACTAATCACCAGAGAGAAAGCGCTAGCGTTAAGGGGGAATTGGGGAATCCCTTTGAGGCCCACAACGGCTTCGTGAGCGAGACCTGCCATCCTTGGAGTCAGCTGTCATCTCCCCGGGTCTTCTTTTCTGGTGCCTTCCCCTGGGGACTTGCACCCCATTCACTCTCCTGGTCGGTCACCTCTGGACTTCCACCGTCTCATCAGTGTCCTTCCTAAGCCCAGATCACACACGATCTCGGAGTGGACTCTGACTAGGAGCCCATGAGAGCATTTGCTTTGTAGCTGCCACATCAGTTTGCTGACCCATATTGAGCTTGCGGTTCACTGAAACCTCCAGATCTTCTTCAGAATGAATGCTCTCTAAGCATGTCAACTCTGTCTTGTATTTAAAGGCTGGGTTCCACTACCTCCACTAAATTTGATTTTATCTGACTGAGTGCTCTAGCCTGTAAAGGTCCTTTTGGATCCTGACTCCATCCTTCCAGCAAGGTGCTGTGAAAATCCAGTGAGCATCAGCTATGCTCTTTATCCAAGCCATTGATAAAACAGTGTTCAGAGGCACAGGACTGAGCACAGATCCCTGGGGCCCTCCACTGGAGACCTCCTGCCGTGTTGACATTGAACCATGAACTCTCTGAGTCTGGCTGTCCAGCCAGTTCTGAAACCTTCTAGTTATATTGTTACCTGCTTCTTATGGCTCCATGTTCTTCACGAGAGCAGTATAAGATCTTCAGAAGCTTGGCTAAAGATCTAGGTAAACTCTGTCTGCAGCATTCACCTCATCTACTCATTTAGAAATCCTCTTAACAAAGGTGGTAAGGTCCCTCCACCATGATGGGCTCTTTGTAATCACTGCTGTCCTTGCCAGACCAGGGGTTCTTCCTGTTGTTTGTGGCCTGCACCCCCCCAGTTAGTCAGTCTGGCAAAGCCTCTCAGAACCTTCACAGAACCTTGTTTTTAAATGCATGAAATAAAATACAGAGGATGACGAGGGCTACCAATTACATTGAAATACAGTGGTCCAGATGTGAAAAGAACAAGTTTATGGACCCCAGGTAAAGAGCCTTCTCCAGTGATCTTTTCTAGCATTTTCCAGGGAATCCATGTCAGGTCTCCTGGCCTGTACTTTACAGACTCTGTGATCTTACTTTTTTGGAAAATTGAGACATTTTCTTCTCTGGCCTGGTGGTACCATGGTCTTAGATGTCTCTGGCATTAATTCCACTGTCTCTTCTGGGAGTTTCTTCAGGACCCGAGGATCTGGGCCAGGCCTTGGGGAGAAGGAGAAGCGGGGTTGGGGGGGCTGGGTTTTGTGCTGTCTCCGTTGGAGCCATTTTTGTTATAAAAAGGTCATGCTCGCAGGAAGCAGTAAGAACTGAGCAGCTTGGCCTTCACCCTGGGGTTGTTTTATCTTATCTGCCCCAAACAGAGTCCTGCCCCTTCTTGGGTCCATCTTCCATTTTACCCAAAAGAATTAAAATGGCTACTGAGGAGGCAGACTCTAAAGCGAGAAGACCTGGGTTCAAGTCCCACCTTTGATCCAGAGCAAGTCACTCCCCTCAGTGCTCTAGTCAACTTTCTAAAACCTCGAATTGCAGAGAAGGTGCTGCCCTGTGTTGGCAAAGGGAGTCTCCTCATCTGGGAATTCCCTCTTCCATTTAAATCAGAAGTATAGTGGGTCCCATGTTTCCTCTTCATTGGAATTGTTTCCTTTGCATCTCTTGGATTACTTGTTTTATCTCTTCACATGGCCGCTACGTTAGCTCAAGTGCCCAACATGGCTCCTGGGAGTAGTAAGATAATCTTCATGTTTCCAAGTTCTTCCCTCTCAAATTCGTTCTCCACGCAGCTGGCACACTGACCCAGGTCCAAAGGTGGGAGCACTCCATCGTCCGCTCAGAAGCTTGCAGGGGTTCCCTCTAGCCTATAGGACAAAACATAGACTCCTCCTCTTGACATCAGGGGCCCCCACAGTCAGACTCCAACCTTCTTTCCAGATCCTTTCCCATGACTCTCCTTACCTGCTCCATCTCCCGGCCATACTGGAGCAGGAAGGAGTTTTCTGCCCTTGACATTCCGTGTCCTCCTTCCATGCTCTTCTCTCGTGTCCCCACAGCCCCCACACCTGGAAGGCTTTCATTGCCCTCCTCTGCCCCTGGTGGTCCTTGCCATCCTTCAGACCTCATCTCTGCAGCCAGATCTGCTGTGAAATCTGTGCTACCCCCTCCACTTCTTAGCACTTTCTCCATTTTCTGAGTATCTCCTTTTTTCCTGTCTGTACATGTTCTATTCCCCCAGTAGAATGTAAGCTCTGGGAGGACAGGGAATGTTCTGTTTCTGTTCCTGTATTCCTCAGTGGACAGTAGGACGGTGCCTGGCACTTAGTAGGTGCTTCATTTGTGTTGGTTGGATGGAATGGAGTGGTTGGACTAGTCCATGAGCTCCCTCTAATCTCTCTCCAACCAGGAAGAATGTTAGGATTTCCAGGCCATGGGTCTGAACACAGCAGGGCCAATTCCTCTGATGTCTGCTTTTTGCTCCCCAGGGCTGACGGCTGAGGAGTCTCAATTTCCCCAGAGGTGAAAGCATTGAGCAAAGCCATGGCCCTTGTCCTTCTCCCTCCCGTGGCTCACCAGGTAAGCGGGAGTAGTTTTTGTTTTTTCTGAAATAAATACCTGAGATCTCCAGTTGGAAATATGTTCCCTTCCCATATCCTCCGACTCAAGAAGCTGAGCCCATCGGGAACCAGGCCGAGGTGGTGCCTTGGAGATCTTGCATCCAGTCCCCTCTTTTTACAGAGAACAAGACTAAGGCCCAGGATGGGACAGGGACTCATCCAGGGTCACACGAGTTATAAGCAGCCTAGCCAGCACCTCCAGCCCTTTCCTGGGGGTGTTTCCTCCTTGCCTGCTGTCCCTGCCTTCCCCTCTGCATCCTTTGTCAAGGGATTCAGTCCCACCCTATGCCCTGGACTGAGCTGGCTGCTGAGAGAGATGTCACAAATGCTTAATGATGATAGAAAATACTTATACCCCACTTGAAGATTTAAAATCTGATTCACAGAAGCCTGTTGGTGTTGAAAAAATAATATCCCCATTTTGCAGATGAAGAAACTGAGTGTCAGAGGGGAGATGATCCTTGTCTAGGAGTGTCCTGATAGTAAATGCTGGAGCCAGGCCTCCAGAGGGGAGAAGAAGCTGCTGGCTCCTCTGTGCCCCCATTCCCTTCCCCTCCCACTGTAAGACCAGAGGAATTCAGGAATAGCCATGGCACATGTGTAGATCGTGTGCTGTTCTGTGGTGTTTGATTGTTACTTCTGAAGGGAGTATGTATGGCATTCATGCTCCAAGCATTTAGAGGAAGATTTTATTTGTGTACATATGTACACATATACATACGTATAAAACATACAGGTAAACATGAATATGTACACATACACCCGTGTGCTAGTGATAATTTCTGATTTTTGTGCAGGTACCAGTATACGTACTACTGATGTCCTCCTGGTGTCTGTGGAATTCATGGGTTGTGGTTAAGGTGAAACTGCCATGTAGGAATGGCTATCGAGAGCTCATTGGACTTAGTCTGACCTTGTACAAATGATGGTGTCTGTCATGTTAAAGAAACAGTATTTAATCATTAATAGGGAGTGACTGCTCTGTAGTGAAAGGGAGAAGGTCAGTAACCAGAGCTTGGGAGGCTTTGCTCTCCATTGCCTTGCAGTCTTTTATCAGTGCTAATCATTAGAAGAAATAACTGTGACTTGTAGTTAAGAACATAGTCCCGGGTGAAAAACCTGTGTGTGACCAAACTACGATGTTGTCCCAGGGCAATTTCTGTGTTAGTTACCCTTAGAAGTGCAACGAAATCATTATATCTCAAGTGTGTGACCATAGTAATCACACCTAGATAGTCATCTTTATATTAAAGAATAAAGTGAGAAAGGCCTGTAAAGGGCTGCTAGGGACACCACGGAGAGCACAGAGTGAGGACGTCGGGAAGTCAGGACATGGTGACCTGCACAATGCGGTCTCACACTAATCCGCTTCCAGAGGCCTTTGTTGCACCATTCATGAATGAAGAGCCTGTAAACACTGTGAGCTCTGTCTCTGGGGATCTCAGCTGCGCCGGGCAGACTGTAGGCCCCGCCTTCATTCTCTTAATAAAGGTGGGTTTCTTTGCCCAGAGAGGCATCCCAGTTTCTTTTTTTTTTTACAATAGGCTGTAGCTAGTAATTAATATTTAGAATGTGCGGAGTGTTACGCATCATGTTTCTAATTATTAACAATACAAATGAATGATTTGGAGGTGTGAGAGTGAAGTATATGACTCACGCTCACTGGAAAAGGGACAGTCTAAGTGTGAACCTTGGCTAAAATCAGAGGCAACTCTGTGATGGTGAAAGGATGATCTGGAGATGGGGTTTTCATCCTGGCTCTGACTCTGGGGCCCCCCAGAATCCTCCTTCTGCCTTCGTCTCTTGCCTTTGCCCTCTGACTGCCCCAAGCTGACCAGACACCCGAGGGTGTCCAGGTAGGATGAGCTGCGGCTCCTCCCATTGGGATGAACGGAGACTCTGCATATACTGTCCTGGTTGGATGGAGGACCGGACCATAAGCCCTTGCCCTCAGGCTCCTGGGCCTTGCTGTCTGGAGCCCTTCGGCCTCCAGGGCCTGGCCATCTGGCCTGTGGCCGACCTCTCTTCTGGGTTATCTCCTTCTTTGGGGTACGTGCTACTTGAGAGCGGGGCTGACTGTGCCTTCTCTCTTTGTATACCTAGCCCTTGGCGCATGGTGAATGTGTCATAAACGCTTTGTCTTCTGTCCATCCGTTCTTTGGGGCTAAATGTGATTGTTGTGATTTCAGAGCATTCAGTTTTAGTGCTTTATTGTTCTTTCAGTTTGTATTATTGCAGTCATTATTTAGTTATTTGTATGGCTGTGGTTATGTATTGATTTCCTGGTTCTGCTTCTCTCACTGCACCAGTTCACATGTCTTCCCTTGTTCTTCCACAAATTTGATATTTTCGTCTGGTGACCAGTGAGTGGACGTAGCCCTGGAGAACCTGAGTCAGTTGATTCCTTTGATGCCATCCCCGCCAGCTATTACCCTCTAGCTTTCTGCCCTTTCTCAGCTAAGCTCCTTTAAAAAGCCGTCTGTGCTCGGTGCCTGCATGCTCTCTCCTCTTACCCTCTTCTGAACCCTCTGCAGTCTAGCTTCTGACCTCATCATTCAGCTGAAAATGTTACTCCAAACTTCCCGGTGACCTTTTAGTTGATAGACTGAGTGGCCTTTTCTGCGTTCTCCTCCTCCTGCACCTCTCTGGAGCTTTGATGCTGTGAATCACTTTTTCCTCCTGAATATTCTCTCCACCCTGGTTATTTTGTGACCCTACTCTGTCCAGGTTCTCCTCTTTTCTGACTATTCCTTCTCAGTCTTCTCTGCTGGGTTTTCATCTGTGTTGCCCCTACAACCTTGGGTGGTCCCACAGGGCTGTGTCTTGAGCCCCTTTTTCTTATTTTTCTATAACATTTCACTTGGTGATGCCATCAGCTCCATGGATTCAGTTATTCCTGTGTTGGTGAGTCTCCGATTTATTTGTCTAGCCTCGGTTTCCTGAGCCCCCACATTGCCATCACACGGCTGATTCCAGCCTGTGTTGTCCTGTAGATATCTCAAACTAAGCATGTCCGAAACAGAACTCATTATCTTTTCCCCAAAACCTTCCCCTCTTCCGAACTTCCCCGTTACTGTTGAGGGGACCACCATCTTATCTGTCACCTGGACTCAGAACCTGGGCGACATCCTCAACTTCTCTCTCATGCTCATTCCACACATCCGTTCCATTGCCGGACTTGTCTTTTATGTCTCCATATCATCTGTCATTTATCACTCCTTTTCTCTGTTCCCGTAGCCAGCACACTAGTTCATCAGCTGTCTCCTGGGCCATTGCACTGGTTTCCTGATTGGTTTCCCCTTCTCCAGTCTCTCCCCACTGCAGTCTGTCCTCCACCCTGCCACCAAGATGACCACATTACCATTCTACTTAGTAAACTGCAGTGGCTCCCTATTACCTTAGAATCAAATCTGAAATCCTTCATTGGGCACTGAAAGCTCGTCCCACGTGGCTTCTTCTTGCTCCTTCCTCACCTCCCCCCCTTCCACCATATTGCTTATGGTTCTTCTCACTCTCTCCTCCACTTCCTGTCTCCGAGCCTTTGCACAGGCTGTCCCCATTTGGAATGCTCTTTTTCCTCCCTTCTGTTCCATAGAGTCCCTGGCTTCCTTCAAGAGCCAGCTCAAAATCCATCTTCTGCTGCATCTTTCCAGAGCCCCCAGACACCTTGCCTTCCCTTCCCAGGTTGCACCTTGGCTGTCCCTATTTCTTTGCATGTCGGCTCCCTGGTTATAATGTGAGCTCTTTGAGGGCAAAGACTGCAGTACCCATGTGAACCGCTCTTCCTCTTGGGTGACATACTTCAGAATTTAGTTTCAACTTAGGCTCACAGTAGGTGTTCACTAAGTATTTGGAACGGAGCGCTCTGAGGCCTGAATCTGGTGAGCTCTACTCCCTTCATCTTTCCTCCCCATGCTATTTCAATCAATCAGTCAATGTATTAAATGCCTACCGTGTGCCAGGCAATGTGCTAAGCACTGGGGATACAGAGTCACAAACAGCCCCTACCCTTGAGGAGCTTATAGTCTGATGTCAAGTAGTTCTTAAGCTGTACCCACACTTGTACCTGCTGTTTCAGGCATTGGTGACCTTCAAGGATGTGGCTGTGGACTTCACCCAGGAGGAGTGGGGACGTCTGTGCCCTTCCCAGAAGGAGCTGTACAGGGACGTGATGCTGGAGAACTACAGGAACCTGGTCTGGCTGGGTAAGGACGGCTCCCCAGGCCTCAGGATCTGCCCCTTGGCGGTCTGGGCTTCCTTCTTTAGTCATGGGGGGCTGTCCTGAGTGTCCAGCAGTCATCTGTCACACAGAGACCAGAGCCCCCTAATCCTTGCATGGCCAAGAGGCAGGGCACTCCAGCATGTCCCCCAGTAAAAGTCTGTCATTTTTGTGGCTGGAAATGGGCCGTTTCTGGTGTCCCTGAGAGTGTGCTTCCTCTGTTCTGGTTACTCAGGTCAGAGATTCTCTCCCAAAGTCCCAGGGCAGCTGCCTGCAGACACGAAACGTTCTGTCCTCTTAGGGTAAATGGATTTTCTGTACCACCCCAGTCCGACCCTGTAACCCATGTCCCCACAGTTTCTAGGAACACAGTTCTGTGTCCTTCAGGGCCCATCGTCCTGCCCTTCGGCTCTTCCTGATATGTCTTTTTGTTGTTCAGTCGTTCAGATGTGTCTGATTCTTCATGACCCCGTGGACCATACTGTCCATGGGATGTTCTTGGCAAAGATACTAGGGTGGTTTGTCATTTCCTTCTCCAGTGGATTAGGGCACACAAGGTAAGTGACTTGCCCAGGGTCACACAGCTGGCGTCTGAGGCCAGATCTGAACTCGGGTCTTCCTCGCTCTAGACCTAGTGCTATATCAACTGAACCACCAAGCTGCCTCCTAGCTAAACAGGTTAAGTGACTTGCTTGAGGTCACACAGCTAGTAAATGTCTGAGGCCAGATTTGAACTCAGATCTACCTGACTCCAGGCCTAGCGCTTTATCCACTGGGCTATCTAGCTGCGTCTCCTAGCTACTTGTTCCCAAAGAGAGACGGGAGAGTGGTTATATTCAAGGTGTCTCTCACGTTTCCAATGAGCAGGACTTGCAGTTTCCAAACCAGATGTGATTTACCAGTTGGAGCAGGTGGAAGGCCCTTGGGTGCCTGAGGGAGAGGCCCCCGCAGTCAGCTGTCCAGGTGAGTGAGGGAAAGCCAGGTGGGTTGGACCTTGCAGACAACATCCCAGCTGGTCATTCTAGGGGCAACACTTTTATTTTTGTTTTTTTAACATTCTTTTTTTTAATTTTGAGTTCCAGATTCTCTCCTTCTGTCCACTCACTCCCCTACCCATGTAGAAGTCAAGAAATGTAGTAATCATTTTACATGTGCCATGTTGCAGAAACAAAATTATGCTTCCGTCTGCTCTCAGAGTCCTTTATTTCCCTCTCTGGATGAGTCCTTTGGAATTGTCTTGGATCAATGAATTGCTGGGGAGAGCCAAGTCATTCACACTTGATCGTCATACGGTATTGCTGTTTCTGTGTACAGCGTTCTTCTGGTTCTGCTCACTTCGCTCCGCATCGGTTCATATGAGGCTTCTCAGGTGTTTCTGAAACCACCCGTCATAATCATGTGCCACAGTTTGTCCAGCTGTTCCCCAGCTGATGAGCATCTCCTCAGTTTTTAGTTCTTTACCACCACAAATAAAGATGCTGTAAATATTTTGGCACATACGGATCCTTTTCCTTTTGCCTTGATCTCTTTGAGATACAGGTGGTATTGCTGGGTCAGAGGGTATGCACAGTTTTAGAGCCCTTGGGCCTAGTTCCGAATGGTCGGACCAGTTCACAATTCCACCAGCAGTGCGTTAGTGTCCCTATTTTCCCACACTCCCTCCAGCATTTGTTGTTTTCCTCTTCTGTCATGTTAGCCAATACAGTAGGTGAGAGGTGGCACTTCAAAGTTACTTTAATTTGTACTTCTCTAAGACTTAGTGATTTGGAGCGTTTTTATATGGTTATTGAGAGTCTTGATTTCCTCCTCTGAAAATAGCTTTCTCATATCCTTTAACCATTTGTCAGCTGGTGAATAGTTCCTATAAAGTTGGCCTACTATGTTTTTGAGAAATGAAGCCTTCATCGAAGAGATTTAATGTAAATTTTTTCCTTCTAATTTTGGCTAAATTGTTTTTGTTTGTGCTTCAGTTACTGTTCAATCATGTCTGATTCTTCGTGACCCCATTTAGGGTCTCATTGACAAAGACACTGGAGCAGTTTACCATTTCCTTCTCCAGCTCATTTTACAGATGAAGAAACTGAGGCAAACAGGGTGAAGTGACTTGGCCCAGGTCACACAGCTAATCAGTGTCTGAGGCCAGATTTGAACTTGGGGAGAGGAGTCTTCATGCTTTCAGGCCTGTACCACCTACCTGCCCCTTTTGTGCATAAACTTTTAAATTTCATGTAGTCACAATTAGCCATTTTATCTCCTGTGATCCTCTTTATCTCATGTTTGGTCATAAAACCTTCCCTTATCCATAGATCTGACAGATAATTTTCTCCATGCTCCCCTAGTAATGTTATGACCCTTTATGTCTAACTCATATACCCAGTTTGATCTTATCTTGGTGTGCAGTGTGAGGTGTTGGTCTCTATTTAGTTTCTTCCAGGCTGCTTTCCAGTTTTCCCAGCAGTTTTTGTTGAATAGTGAGTTCTTGCCCCCAAAGCTTGGATCTTTGCGGTTATCAAACCCCAGATTATTGTGGTCATTTAGTACTGTGTATTGTGAATCTAGTGTGTTCCACTGATCCACTACTCCATTCTTAGCCAGAAGCAGATTGTTTTAATGATTACTGCTTTGTGGTACAAGTTGAGATCTGGTATGGCTAGGCCACCTTCTTTCACTTTTTGAAATTGATTCCCATGATATTCTTGATCTTTTGTTCTTCCAGGTGAATTTTGTTATTACTTTTTCTGTCTCTATATGGTAATTCTTTGGTAGTTTGATTACTGTGGCACTGAATAAGTAAATTAATTTAGGTCGTATTGTCATTTTTATTATATTGGCTCCTCCTACCCATGAACAATTAATATTTCTCTGATTGTTTAGATCTGTCTTTATTTGTGTGAAATATGTTTTGTGATTGTGTTCATACAGTCCTGGGTTTATCTCGGCAGGTAGACTCCCAAGTGTTTTATACTGTGTGCAGTCATTTTAAATGGAATTTCTCTATCTCTTCCTGGTGCATTTTGGTGGTAATATATAGAAATGCTAATGATTTGTGTGAGTTTATTTTATATCCTGCAACTTTGCTAAAGTTGCTACTTTTTTCAGTCAATTTTTAGTTGATTTTCTAGGATTCTCTAAGTAGGGAGGGACAGTACAAGGGGGATCAAGAAAGACTTCCTGTAAAAGGTAATTATAACTCTGAGTCAGAGGAAGAGAGGACTCCTGTGAGGATAGAAGACATCTCAGGCCTGGGGGCATGTGAGTATCTTGTGCTTCAGGGCATAGAGAGAAGGCTTGTCTGGCCGACTCCACTGAGAGTCACTTGCTGAGAGGATGGGAAGGGAGTTTGTACTGGTTGATTTTATCTCTATTTGAATTTAATAGTTATTGGGAACTTAAATATTAAACATCAGGTTAGTTTCTTAAACTTCCTTTACAACATATTCATACATTGAGATCAGTGCAAGTCTCCAGCAGGATTTTGTCCTTGGCTTTAATTCCCGTTCCCATTTCCCATCATTTGTCACAGTTAGTGTGTTTTTGGCTCCTCTGTTTCCATGGGGGTCCCTGGGCCTTCTTTTATAAAACTCTTTCCAGATTTCTTTAGTCCTCACATTTTGCAAACTTAATAGCATCATAGGATTATAGTCTTCCTTTCTTGTCTACGCCTGTTGTATCATCCATGTAGGGAACTCAGGGTAGACAATCTCACCACCATTGGGAATCAGCCACCCTTTTGTAACTTTTGGTCTTAAGAGTAAGAAAACTGTTCATATTCTTTAACCGTTTGTCCATTGTGTACTGGGAATTGCCATTTACATTTTTATTGATTCCTTATATCTCACTTGGACATCTGCAGCCCTTGAGGCCATGGGTTGGCTGCTTAACTTTTCTGTGCCTCAGGCAACTTGCTAAGACTGAAAATTATCAGCAGGTTATAATCTTCACTGACTAAATCATAGACCCCTGAGATAAGTGACACAATGTTTTTATTTGACATAGATAGGGGTCATCAGTATTTTTCTTTTTGTTTGTTTGTTTGTTTTGCAGAACTGTCTTAATGTGTCCAGGCAGTCAAGTCTGTCTTGTCCTCAATACTTCCTGCTATGTGTTGAATAGGGAAGATAAAGTCATCTCCCCTCCACAGTTGAGCACTGTCTTTTTAATGTGTATATTGACTTTACCAAAATGACAGCCCAAACTGCCTGTTGGCTTCCATATTCCTATCTGATCTTTTTTTCTGTGTATTTTTAAAGGTTATGTTACTGATGGAATTGGGTTTTATGGCACTGTAGTGCAAGGGAATTTTCTGATTCGGCTGTGTTTTCTCTATCCTTCACAGGTCCCTTCCCTTGATTCTTGGATCAAATGATTCTAAGCCTTCCTTATTTCTCTTTATTCTTAAATGAAAATTGGAAGCACCCAGCAAATGTGTCCTGTGTCTTTATGTGTTGAACTGTAACCACCCCATTGGACACATGGCTTTTTTCCAGCTCATTGCTTTTATAAAAAGAGCTACCATGACTATCATTATAGAACTTTTTTTTCTTTTCTATAGGATCTATGGCATCATTGCCATGGGGCAGAGTTTGGGTTTAGCACTCAGGGATGCTAGGAGGGCTTATAGTGATTCATGAATACTCAGAGGCAAACAGTGGCACTGGAGAGCATGGGCAGAGGCAGCTGGGGATCAGGAGGCCTGTGAACTCCCTTGCCCCCACTGTCCCAGCTCTGTGGAACAGCCCTTGGTGAGTCACAGTGGGACATGCTTTGCAGTCGAAGGCACAGATCAGGTGGGGGTTTTCAGACAGAGGGTGGACTGTGGCAGCTGTCACATCACTGGTGGGCCAGGGGGGTGAGAGAGCTTGGACAGGTAGCGGAAAACGAATTAGGATGAAGAAGGTCAGTTCTAACTAAGCTGCATCAGTATACTTGCTGGAGAGTTTTCAGCACTCAGTTCTGTCTAGAACTGGGAGTAGTTTAAACCTTAAATGTACCAGAGTCGTGTGATCAGAGATACATCTAGAAGAGTATCTTCTAGACATGAGCTCCACTTATGATTTAGGCTTGTTTGCGTGGTCACCGTGAGAAAGGGCACACCTTCTCTTCCATGGCTGACTAAATGTTGCTGTTACTTTACAAAGACGGGAGCTCATTTACTGCTCCCCCAGCCATAGAATAGCATACGTATTTGTCCAAAGCTCCACCAACAGTTGCTTTTCTGTCTTTGGGGAAAAAATCCATTTGGCAATTTGATGGGTGATGGGGGACTCAGAGTTGTTTTTTAAAGGGAAAGAAGGGAATAAACATTTATATAGTGCCTACTGTATGCCAAGCACTAACAGCCATGTGCCAAGCGCTTTACAGACGTTATTTGTCCTCACAACACCCCTGCAAGGTGGGTACTATTATTATCATTCCCATTTAACAGTGGAGGAAACCAAGGAAATGGAAATTAAGTGATTTGAGCATTTCTCTGATTATTAGAGAATAGCAACAACTTTTCAGGCACTGAGTGATGATCTGGGTTTCTGCGGAGAAGTGAATTTCTGTCTCCAGAGCCTTCTAGGGGTCTCCCTGCCTCAGATGTCTCCGCAGTCCAGGCCATCCCCCACTCAGATGTCAAGCTGATCTTCCTAAAGCGTGGTTGATCATGTCATCCCCTTTTCATCAAAGTCTAGTGTCTCCTTTTGACTCTGGGATCAAATATAAACTCCTCCATTTGTCTTTTAAAGATCTTGCCCCTGCCTACCCTTCTAGTCTTCTTACACCTTACTCCCCTCTAAGTTCTCTGTGGTCCAGTGACACTGGCCTCCTGGCTCTTTTCCCATACAGTACCCCTTCTTCTGACTCTGGGCCTTTTCACTGGTTTTCTTTCACGTCTGGAATTCTCACCCTTCTCGTCTTTTGTCTCCTGGCTCCTGGCTCCGTTCAGGTCCCAGCTGAAATCTTACCTTCTACAGGGAGCCTTTCCTTAATTTCCATTTTAGTGCTGATGCCTTCTCTCAGTGATTACCTTATATCCCCAGCTCTTAGCACAGTGCCTGACACGTTATAGATACTTAAGAAATGCTTGTCTGTTTGCCTTGATGAGTGACACTTTCTTCATTTGGAAAATGAGGAGCTGACATATTTACCTAACAAGGTTTTTTTTTGAGGACCAGCATGAAAGCTTTTTGTAATCACTGCAAACATAGGGTCATATTAACTATTCTGTATTTTAGTATTTGGCAGTAATTTTTCTTGATGGAGACAGAAGATAGTATCATAGATATAACAGCAGAACCAGAAATATTTACACTTTTAAAAATTTCTTTCAGATTTTGAGACTAGACTTGACACCAAGCTGACCCCTCCAGAGCTGGACATTTCTGTGGAAGTATCATCCCAGGAAAAATTCTCAAGGGATAGTGCTTGTGTCTTCAAATTGGGAGAAGCTTTGGAATGTGATGCCTGGCTGGGAAGGCAGCAGAACACTGAGGAGAAATCTTATGAATGTAATGAATGTGTAAAGTCCTTCTACCACAGCACCCAACTTCCTGAGCCTCAGAAAATTCATACTGGAGAAAAACCTTATGTGTGTAAGGAATGTGGGAAAGCCTTCCGCTGTCGCCCAGCTCTTACTCAGCATTGGAAGATTCATACCGGAGAGAAACCTTATAAATGTATGGAATGTGGGAAGGCTTTCCATCAGAGGGCAGGACTTAATCAGCATAAGAAAACTCATACCAGAGAGAAACCTTACCTGTGTAAGGAATGTGGGAAAGCCTTTCACCAGAGCACAGCACTCACTCTGCATCAGAGAGTTCATACTGGAGAGAAACCTTATGAATGTATGGAATGTGGGAAGGCCTTCCATCAAAGGACAGGACTTAATCAACATCAGAAAATTCATACTGGAGAGAAAACTTATGTGTGTAGTGAATGTGGAAAGGCTTTCCACCAGAGCCCAACTCTTACTCGACATCGGAGGATTCATACTGGAGAGAAACCTCATGTGTGTAAGGTGTGTGGGAAGGCCTTCCACCAGAGCACAGCACTTACTCAACACCAGAGGATTCACACTGGAGAGAGACCTTATGAATGTACCAAATGTGGGAAATCCTTCAACTGCAACTCATACCTTATTTCCCATTACAGAATTCACATTGATGACAGACCATATGAATGTAAGGAATGTGGGAAGGCCTTCCGCCGGAGCACACAGCTTACTCGACATCGGAGAATTCATACTGGTGAGAAGCCCTATGAATGTAACGAATGTGGAAAAGCCTTCTATCGACGGTCAGGACTTACTGGACATCAGAAAATTCATACTCGAGAAAAACCTTTTGGAATCAAATGAATGTAGGAAAGCCCCCAGAACTCAGCACTTACTTGCATCAGATACTGGAGAGAAACATTATAAACATAATGAATGTGGGAATGCCTTCTGCCAGATGATAGGACTTATTTGACATCTGAGAATTCTCATTGGACCTAAAGAATGTGATGTTTGAGGGAAGGCCTTCCTCAAGAGTAAAGAACTTACTCAGCACCAAAGGAATCACACTGGAAAGAAACTTTATGAATGCCAAGTCTTCTGAAGTAATGCATGTGTGAACTTTCACTTTGATGAAAGATTTAGAATCAAACTAAAAAAGGACATAATAGAAAAAGAAAACTCCAAGTTTCCCACAATGGGTTTTTCTTATTTTCTTTTAAAGGAAGACTATGAAACTATTTATTGACCACTGTTCATCAGTATTTGCAATAAACTAAATAATATGCAGTTGTATAACATTAGAGTGACTGAAAATTATTGTCTTTATTCTTCATGCACAAAGTGACCCAAATGCTAAACTGTTTGAGTATCCACATTTAAGGGATGAGTTGGGGTAAAGGAAGAAAAAAGTCCACACCAGTAGTATAGAAGACTAGATAGACTGGTGTGTTTACTTAGCCATTGTGCCACTAGTTATTAAAATATACCTTTTTTCCATCAAATTTTCACCTTTACCAGCAGAATGTTACAGTTTCAGCAGATAGGGATGTTACTACATGATTAAGAATAGACTTGGTTAGTAAAAGATGTGTTGTTCAGTTTTTTCAGTTGTATTTGACTTTTCACGATCCTATTTGGGAATTTCTTGGCAATGATACTGCAGGGGTTTGCCATTTCTTTCATTCTACAGATGGGGAAATTGAGACAAACAGGGTTAAGTGACTAGCCCAGGGTCACACAGCTACTAAGTGTCTGAGGCCAGATTTGTTATTAGTGTTCCTGACTCCAGACCCTGTACTCTCTACACTTTGCCGCCTAGCTGTCACTAAAAGATGTAACATCCCCACTTTCCAAAACATGAAGTCAGAGTTTTCCTATTTGAAAATCAAGACTAAAATGGTGAATTTTAGGTAAATATGAAAATATTTTCAAATTCTGGCATTATTTACATATATTTTTAACCCAAGATTGAAAACTTTCATAGAAGGACAATATCAATAAGCTGAGAACTAGAACTTGGGGATTTTGTGAGTAAGCATGTCTGCTTTGTCAAAACTATAGATACAAAGCTTCTGCCCTTCTCCCCAACTTCACACGCACACACATACACACACACACACACACACACACACATCTCCATCAGCATTACAATCAGTGTCTTTGGGAAGAAAAACATCTTTTTTGAGAAATTCTGAGCTGGTTTCACAAATTCTGTGTCAATTTGAGGCCACCCTTTGGGCCCATAGGAAAGATGTCCATTAACACCTCAACAGAGACAGTATAGACTCTGAACATTTATGCATTCATGGATACTCCAGGATGGTGTCAAAATGCTTAAAAATTATCTTGTTTTGCCCCAAAGCAGTTAGTTTTTAGAAATTTCAGAATAGCGTGTTCTCTGAGGCTTGGGGGAAACTTGTTCCTGTGTTCCTTAGAACTGAAAAATAACTACCTGCAGCAACTTGTAGATGGCTTTTCTTCTCTTCGCAAAATGGAGTTTTAGAAATTGGTTTCAAATGAATGCCACAGTTCTGCATAGACCCAGAGTTCACTGGCAGGCAGCTCTAAGCACAAACTTGGGTGCCACAGTAATGACCATGAGAGGTATTAATAGTTATGAAAAACTTAGCTCTAAGGGGACAAAGTTAATTCCATAGCACCAGATTTGTCATTCTGTGACAAATGAGTAAACACAAAGAGTTTGTATTAACTTGTTCAGTGTAAACACCAGTTCTGATAATACAAAACAAAATGAAAACCTGCTAAAAAAAAACTTAATCAAAATCAGTCTTTATATTTATGTGTAGGTATGAGGATAGCTAGCTAGAGAGATTATAGACAAATAAAAGGATAGATAAGATGAGTGAGCGATGAAAGTGTTTACTGTGCTTCATCTGGACGGGAATACCTGGTCAGCCGTACAACCTGTACAACTGTACACAGAGCAGTGATTGAAGACACTTCCTGTTTGTTTCTTTTGCCAGGACCAAGTCTGCTTCCTCAGAAGCTTCCCGCCTTATGAGAAACATTAGTTCTCTCTGGGTCACAACCTCAAGGAAAGCTGTTACTTTGTCATCAGATTCGTTTATTTTTATTTTATTTTATTTTATTTTTTACTTAGGGACATTGGCTATTTTTGGAAGTCATCTTTTTTTTTTAACTTACTTTTTGAGAATTAAGAAATACTTCAATTGGATCTTTTCTTCATGTTCCCACATATTGTCAGCATCTGTTAAGCCTTTCCATTTTAAGAACTATTTAACTTTCTTATTCACCACTCATTGGTCCATCATTTTCTCCCCAAATTCCTCTGGCTCTGCTTCCTCCAAGTATTTATTTACTCTTGCCTTTCTGTGTTCCACTTCCTTTTTGTTGCTTTGTGTAAGGTAATACATACATACATACATACATACATACATATACATATATATATACACACATATACATATGTGTGTGTATATATATACATACATACATACACACATATGACTGATCTGAGGGTGCCCGCCTATCCTGCATACATTTTAGTATTGCTGGTGAAAGGAAAATTGAGGTTGGGTGAGGCATGGTAGCTGCTGCTGGCATACTGCTCCCCATTGCCTATGGTGGTGATGGAAGAGGTAGCATCTTGATGGAAGAAGGGGCACGGTGACTTTCCCAACATTTTCCTCTCTCAAATCTCAGAGCACTTCACTCTTCTAATGCACATGCTTGTAGCAGAGAGTCAAATGAAGATGAGGATTTTATGCAACGGCTACATGGATGCCTAGAAGAAATGAAGCAAGAGATAAACATGTAATAAAAGCCCTGGAGGAATTAGAAGCAGAGTAGAATAAAAAGAAGAGAAAGTAGTAAACCTCATTGAAGTAACAGACTCCCTGAATACTAGAATAGAGCAAATAAATTAGTGGCTCCATGAGACAGCAAGAAATATTAGAACAGAATAGAAAAAGTATCTGAGATTAAAAAAATAAAAAACTTGACCTGCAAGGAGAGGGATCTTTTAAGAACCATTGGACCCCCTGAAAACCAAGATTTTTTAAAAAGCCTAGAAATTTCTAATAAAATCATAAAATAAAAATAAACAAAACCACCAAGAACTATAAGAACCAGAGGGCAAAACCAAAAGAGAAATAATGCACCATTCACCTCCTAAAAGGAACACCAAAAGGTATAGTCCCAGGAATATCATAGCCAAAAATCCAGGATTTCCATGACAAAGAAAAAATACTGCAAGAATCCAGAGAGAAGCAGTTAAAATACTAATAAACTGTAGTCAGGAGCACACAAGACTTGATAATGTTTACCTGGAAAAAGAAATCTTAGAATACAGTATTTCAGAAAGCAAAAAGATAACAGACTTCCACCAAGAATAATTTATCCTGCAAAGGCAAAGCTAAGTATAATCCTATGAAGGGGAAAACGCATCTTTTAGATAGAGTACTTTTAAGCATTTATGATGAAAAGATGAGAGCTGAATAATATCTTTCAGATAAAAACATGAGATTCCAGAGAAATCTAGAAAGGTAAATTTATTTGAGTAATTAGAAAGAGCTATATAGTGACATTGTGTTAATATCCTAATAGCAAGAGAAGAAATATGTCTCTTTAGAACATTAATATCTTCAAAGGGTACTGAGGGAGTTTTAAAAAAAAAAAAAGAAAACTGTCCTGGGAGTTATTAGTTCTGTTTGAGAGTCTGAAGAAGGTAAAGAAAAGGGATACATTGGGGAGACAGGAGGAAGAAGTGAGTGAAACTCATTTCTCAAAATTGTAACACCTGAAAAGAAAAATATCCAAGCATGGCAGAAAGGATGAGGAAGCAGGCATCAGATAACTTCATCCATATGAAACAGACAAAGGAGGGTTGAATACACCCCTTCCCAACACACCTCTGCCCACCCCAAACATGGTGGCAGGGGTTTGGTGTTAAGAAAACCTCCTCTCTCCCGATACCTGGGAGGGAATAAGCACAGGCAAAACTAACTTTCTAATCTAGAAGGAAAGAAAGGAAAAAAAAAACTAGAATCTGGGGGAAGAGGACGGGGGCTTAGATTTGACTCAAGACAGGCACTGCCTGAACAAATTGTGATATATGAATGTGATGGAATGTCATTATTGTAGTGTTAGAAATGACCAGAGACAATTGGGAGAATCCTAGGTAATGTGAACAGATGCAGAGTGAAGTGAGCAGAACCAAGAAGACAGTTTGTAGAAGGCTAACATTTTGAAGAAAAGCAACTTTGAAAGACTTATGAATTAAAAACTCTGATCAATGAAATGACCAACTATGTCTCCAAAGAACCTTTGATGAAGCATGTGATCTACTTCCCAAAAAATCAAAATATTTTTCATCAATATTCATTAGTTATTGGCCTAAAATTCTCCTTCTCTTTATCCTTCTCAGGCTTAGGTATTAAAATTATGTCTCATAAAAGGAGCCAGATAAAGTACCTTCTTGCTTAATAGTTGAAAATAATTTTCATTTTGGTAGTAATTGTTCTTTAAAAGTTCGATAGACTTCTGTAATTTCATCAGGACCAGAACATTTGTTTCTTTGGGACTTCCTTCATAGTTACTACTGTTTCCTTTCAACTTAAGATCTCTATTTGGTCTTCTGCTGCTTGGAGTATTTTATAGTTTTAAAGGTACTCCTCTATTTCTTTAGCATTCTCAGTTTGGCTAGCATATAACTAACTGTGCATAGTAAGTTCTGATAATTCTTTGTATCTCTTCTGGTTTTTGTTGTGATTGTTTAGTTGCTATTTTGTTGGTTTAATTATTTGCTGCCTTTTTGATCAGGCTGGTCTAAGGTTTATCCACTTTGTTGGTCTTTTCAAGGAACAGCTTTTAGTTTTATCTATCTTTTCTATAATCTGCTTGGTCTCCAGTTTATTTATTTCTCCTCCAATTTTCATTATCTCCTCTTTTGTGATTTTTGAGTTTGTTCATTTGTTGGGTTTCTAATTTTCTTTTCTTTTTTTTTTTGCATTTTTAATTTAGGTTTGTTTTATTTAAGTTTAATGTTAATTCCATGCTGTGTTTCAGTAAGAACAATACAGATTCTGTATCTGTGGCTCCAGTCAGATATCCAGTAGTACAAATTAGCTTCAAGTTACACATACTGAACGAAAGAGGATAAATGACTGAAGGAGGGCAAGGAGTAAAGGGGGAGAAGGGGAAAAGGAAGGAGAAAAACCCAAAGAATTGAACATGCATGCAGGCTTTTCAATACCACCTTCTATGCTAACCTGCTGTGAGGGAAGGTCAAAGTCGGCAAGAATGAGCAGCCACAGATTGTTGGGCTGTTACTAGCACCATTTCAACACAGTTTGGAAAACACTTTCTACAGCAAAACCACTACAATAAATGTTCCAACGCAACCTGTAACTTCAAGCTAAACACCCAATTAATTTTAAACATTGGTATAAAATTCGGTTTAAACTATTATAAAAAGGAAAAATGTCACTACATGTGCCCTACGGTGTCATAAATCTCTCTCCTAGACTCTCGCTTCATCTAGAAGTCTAATGGCATTCCAATGTAATATCTATTTCTAATGGTTATCTTGCCACATCTGGCACGGAGACAATACAGTAATGCTGAAAAAGCCTCTCTGCAGTCCTGTTAGTGTCTTAAAGAACCTAAAAGCTGGGACCAGTAAGATCCACAGAAATTCTCTTGCCTTTAAGAACTTTGAAAACTGTTTAAAGAAAAAAAACCCAACAGGGCAGGAACTTAAATTCTGAGACCAAATGTAAAATTCAGATTTGGTGGTTCTCCGTGACAATGGGGAATTTTCGGGGGGAGAGATGGGGAGGAGTGGGGTGGTCAGAGATGGATTCTCTTGTTGGCTTTGATGTCTCTCTCACCTTCCACGTCTTGCAGCGCTTCTCTATTCTGTTCTTCACCATCATCCTGCATATCTGAAGTCCGTAGTGTCAGGTTGTTACTGTCATGGTAACAACTGCACGATAAGTGTCGAGTCCTCATAGCTTTCTTTACTCAGTGTATCCAGTTCTGCAATTGCATCATCAAAAGCTGCTTTTGCCAACCTACAGGCACGGTCAGGGGAATTGAGAATTTCATAGAAGAATACGGAAAAGTTGAGAGCAAGACCTAAGCAGATGGGGTGCGTTGGCGGAAGTTCTGTCATTGCGATATCACTAGCAGTTTTATAAGCCACCAAGCTATTCTCTGCAGCCTCCTTCCTGTCATTTCCTATGGCAAATTCAGCCAGATAGGTACCTGTGTTGGTCCCATTTTATTTTATAATAGAAAACCTTGGACTCGCCAGTGTTTGCTGCTGGAATGAGGTGTTTGTCCAGTACGTCACAACAGATTAATTTTAGTTCAGTCTCAACCATTTGCCGATATTCCCGAATCGTTTTTAGTTTGTCTTCTCCTCCCTTGTTTTCTTTTTTCTGTTCAATGCTGCTGATTATCCGCCAGGACGCTCTTCTGGCTCCGATCACATTTTTACATGCTACTGACAGTAGGTTTCTTTCTTCGACTGTCAGCTCCACGACCATTCCTGCTACTTTCTTCACGGATTCCATCATTTCGTCATATCACTCGGCCTGCTCGGCCAGTTTCACCTGGTACACCTCCCGATGGTCCATAGCGGCGGCGGCTCCAGCAGGGTCTGCGCGACGGATGGCAGCAGATGGCAGCTCCGACTCTCTTGTCAGCTTCTCGTTCGGCGTCCGGGCAGCAAAGATGTAATTTTTTAAAAAAATATACATTTAATTCGTTATTGCTCTCCTTTTCTATTTTGTTATAGCCCAATGTGTTCCATCACAGTTTTATACCAAAATTTCTTTATTTTCAAGGTGTTGGATAAGCCTCTTTAGTTTCCAGTTCTTTGACACTAGAGCTGATATATATATATAGGAATGTATGTGTGTATACATACATATATACACATATACATACATACATAAATGTCCTTTTCCTCTTTCTTGTAGTCCGTTCGGGTATAGGTCTTGTAGTTGCATCACTCAGTTAAAAGCGTCTGTTACAGATTAGTGAATTTGTATTCTAAATTGCATTAAAGAATGGCTGAAACAATTCAGTGTATTAATGTGCATGTTTTTGCAAAGCCCTTCCAACATTTGTCATTTTCCTTTTTTATCAGCTTTGCTAACTGATGGCTGTGAGTTGGAACCTCCAAGTTGCTTAACTATATAGTAATTGTTTGGTTGTTTGATTGGTATGGTGCTAAATAAGTACATTAATTCAGGTAGAATTAACATTACTATTATAGTGGCCTGGCCTACTCATAAGCATTTAACATTTTTTAAAAAATTTAGGATGTTTTTATTTATGTTAACAGCACTTTGTAGTTGTTTTTTTTTAATCACCAGGATATACTTTTCTTTTTCCTATGTGTATATTTTACTTATTTTTAAAATGGAATTTTTTCAAATGATCAAAAATCTACTCTTTATCCTTCCTACTCATCCCCTTCCCATTGGAAAAGAAAAAGAAAAAAATCCTTTGTTACACATAAATTTGGTCAATAACACCAATTCCTACCTTGGCCAAGTTTTAAAAATGATGTGTCTCAATCCACACTCTGATTTGATTGCCCCTTTGTCAGAAAGTAGGTAGCATGTTTCATAATTGATCATTTAGAATCATGATTAGTCTTTGTATTTGTGCATAAGACTTTCAAAGTTGTTTGTCGTTACAATACTGTTGTTATTATATAAATTATTGGTGCTGCTCACTTCACTTTGCATCAATTCATGTAAATCTTCTCAGGTTTCTCTGAAACTATCCCTTCCACAGTTTCTTATGGCAAAATAGTATTCCATTACATTCATATGCCATAATTTGTTAGACAAGTGATGGGGTCCCTCCAAGTTTCCAATATTTTGCCATTAGAAGGAATCGATTTAAGCCTAATTTCTTCTATATTGCTTTCCACATTTCTTATCACATAGAGATAAGCAGTTTGGTTTTTGTGGTTTACAACACACAGGGTTAGGGGTTCCAATACTTCTGAATCCCCCTTATCTAGTCTGTTTCATTGATCTACTTCTGTGTTTTTTAGCCAATATCAAATGGTTTTACTGACTGCCATTTTTTAATATAGACTGAGATCTGGGACAGTAATTTCCACTTGATTTCTACATCTTTAAAAATTATTTCCCTTGATATTCTACATCTTTCGTTTCCACATATGAACTTTGTTTTTGTTGAGTTTTTTTAAAAAATCCCTTTGAAAGTTTGATTGGCATGGCATTAAAATTGTAATTTAATTTTGGAGATATTTTCATTTTTATTATACTGGCATGGTCTATGAGCACTGAATATTCCTCCAGACATTTTAGTTGTTTTTGTTTTTGTTTTTAAATTTCTTTAAGGAGCACTTTGTAATGCAACATACAAATACTTTGTGTGCTTTGGTAGATTGATCCTAAATATTTTATGTATTTTATAGTTATTTTGAATGAGATCATGCTTTCTATGATTCTTTTGGGCTTTGTTATTATTAAATAGAAATGCTGTTGATTTTTGTGCGGTTTTTTGGCAGCCTATTTGTGTCAATGAATATTTTTTGCTGGCTCCCTAGGATTTTCTAAGTAAACCATCAGGTAAACTGCAAATAAGGATAATCTTACTTCCTGTTGGCTATCTTTACACCTCTAATTTTTCTTTTGTTTTGTTGTGAACATTTCTAAAATTATATCAAATAATTGGGGGAGGGGCATTCTTGCTTTACTCCTGTGGGTCTGGGGTCACCTTAAGGAAAAATAGCTCTTGAAAGAAACTTGTTTAAAAAGAGGGAGAACAAAAATTAGAGATAAATATAAACCTAACCCTCTTAACTTTAAATGTTAGTAGATTATACAATCCAGTAGTATAAAAGAGAATGACAGATTAGATAAGAAAATAAGACCCCATAATTTGTTGCTTACATGAAAAAAAGGAAACAAGAATATATTTAAAGAAATATCATTTAAAGCTATTAAATAACTTAATTATTTAAGGTACACCGTATTGTAAACCAAAGGTTCTCAGTGTAGGGTACATAGACTTTCAAGGGGGTCTATGAAATTGGATGGAAAAACACTACATTTTAATTTCAACAAAATTGGTTCCCTTTGTAATCCTCTATGTGTTATTTTACGTATTTAAAAACGATATTCTGAGAAGTCCATGGCTTCTGCAGACTGCTAAATGTATCCATGACGCAATAAAGAACCCTTGCTTTAAACAACTCAACATCTACAAAGATACAATAATCCTCTCTTGTTCCAGAGGCACTGATTGAGACATCAGCTACCAGGTGCCCATTCCTGGGGTCTATATGAATAAATACTTAATACTCATAAGACAGCTTTCTGTTATATTTTAAAACATTACCTCCTAAATGTGCAACATCTCTGTGAACATGGAAGGAGGAAAGAGTTTCAGATAAAGAAGCAAGCACGAGATCAATATGTATAAGATGTCTTTCCATCTAATCTATCAGTTGCCAATCTGGAAACAGACCCATCTGCTCATTAGCAACAGTGTTGTAGACAACCCATCAATAAATATAAATGGAATGATGCAGGTCATCTTGTAGGTCTTCAAAGATAGCAAACAGATGTCATGGAGTTTTTCAGGAGCTGAAGTTGTGAAGTATAACAAGTTTTCTATTCACTTACTCAGAGGGGCAGCTGAACTCCTGTGACTAAGAAATGTTTCTTGTTTGAGTCCACCTGCAAGGTCAGAGAAAGTGCGCCAGACTCCCTGATGTCTACCTGCATCCCTCAAGGATAACATATTTCCTCGAGGCAAGAATAGAGCAATGATTAGCAGGAGAACTGAACTACTTCTTTTTTAAAAAAATTAATTTGTTTCTTTTTAGTTTTCAACATTCACTTCCACAAGATTTTGAGATCCAAATTTTCTCCCCATCTCGTCCCTCCCTCCACCCCAAGATGAGAACTGAACTTCTAAACTTAGCTTATAGACAAAGAAATGTGGCTTGGACAACTGTACTAAATGGGGCAGTAACAATCAGATCAATTGCAGGATAGAATTGATTATAAAATGATACAAAACCAATTTAATTTCTTCAGAGGGAAGGCACTAGGATTACACTGGGTTAGGGAGGTCTTCCTGTAGGATTTTAGCTAGGACTTGAAGGAAGTCAGGGAGGCCAGGAAATAGACATGAGGAAGGAGAACGTTCCAGGTGAGGGAGATAGCCGTTATCCATTCATATTTTGATTAGCATTATATGACACCTGTAAATTGATTCCATGGTATCTTTCCTATAAGTGCATGAGAGAATGTGTCAGAATCTAGGTAAACTAAACCAAAAGAATTTCCCCTGATCTCCCAGTCTAATGACTGTATTACAAAGGAAACTGGGTTGATCTTGCACCGTCTCGTCTTGATGAAGTTGTTATCACTGCTTCTGTTTCAGTAACTATCCCTTTTACGGATCTAGGGGTCTAGACTTTTCTCCAGGCATCAGTCAAGCTCACTGGCTTCTAACTAGCAGATTAAATTCTCTTCCCTTTTGGGGAAAAATGGACAGATTTGCCCTTCTCTAGTCATGTGATGCTCACACTTTCCACCATTTTTCAAAAATTATTCTCAGCAACATTGTAGCTACACAGCCCTTGTCTTTTACTACCCTGTCATTCACTTCATGGGATCATCGATCATAAAATTGTAGATTTAGAGATGGAAGGAGCCTCAGAAATCATTTAGTCCAACCCCTTCCTTTTATAGATAAGGAAACTGAGGCTCACAAAAGTCACCTGACCTGCTGAAGGTCACATAGGTGATAAGTTGCATATCCAGGCCCTCTGACACCAGATCTTGGGCCTTGTGGCTTGAACTTGTCCAGGTCAGTTTGGTGCAGGGCTCAGGCTTTCTTACTTTCTCCCCATCTGTGATGGGTATCAACTTACCGCTAATCTTTCTTCTTTTGTTCTTTTTGGCCAGGATGGCCCCTTAGCCTCAGCACAGACATTTCAGACACAATGAATGTATCTGGCAACATGAGGAGAAACACCAGGATGGGGCATGGTGACTGCTGGGTAGAGGCCTCTCCTGGGCTCTAGTCGGAGGTTTGGTACAAATTTGTTATTTGAAATTGCATGGTCACATGACTTCTTTTGGACTCAGCTTCCTTGCCTACAAACTAAAGGAGTTGCTCTAGATAATCAGTATTTTTCTCTTCTGGAGGCAATATTCTGATTCTATGGGACTGTTCATCTGATTTGGAACAACGCTTAATTATTCATTCAGAAAGTGACCTCCAGCACCTTTCACATTTTGGTCCTAATACTGGCCTTGACATGTAGTTCTGGGAGATATTCTCATATAGTGAAAAAGAGCCTTGGACTTAGAATCAAAAGACCTGGGTTCAAGTTCCAGCTGTGATACATGCACACATGGTAGCAATCTGACCTTCGGTGAACTATGGCATTGCCTTCAGCTCCAATTTCTATTTTGGGAAAATCTAATAACTGACTTGCCTACTTTACTAGGTTCTTTGGAGTATGTTGGAGTGTGTTCTTATAAATTATAAATGACTCTACACATATAGTCTTATCTAGTCTATATTTTAAAATCTGGCAGATTTTTCTTGATGGCAGAAACAGAATATAATATTAAATATATTACAGGTTGACAGCAGATATTTACACTTTTAAATTTCTTTCAGATTTTGAAAGCAAGCAGTCACCTTCAAAGTTGGACCTTTCTATGGAAGTATTATCCCATGAAACATTCACAAGGGATGATTCTTGTATCTCCAAATCAGGTGAAGCTTTGGAATGTGACATCTGGCTAGAGAGGCAGCAAAGCAATGAAGGGAAAGCTTATGAATGTGATGAATGTGGAAAGACCTTCCATCAGAGGACAGGACTTACTGAACACCAGAAAATTCATACTAAAGAGAAACCTTATGAATGTAATAAGTGTGGGAAGGGCTTTCATCAGAGCACAGGACTTTCTGCTCATCAGAGAATTCATACTGGTGAGAAGCCATATGAATGTAATGAATGTGGAAAGGCCTTTTACTGGAGCACAGGACTTACTCAACATTATCAGACAATTCATGGTGGAGAGAAATCACATGACTATGAGAATACCTTCTGTCAGAAAATAAGATTTATTTGACATGATAATTTGTACTGTTATAAACAAATGCATGTAATATTTGTTGTAAAGTTTTCTTTCCTCAAGAACAAATGATTTAATCATCAAAGAATTCACAATGGAAAGAAACCTTATGGATATAAAGTCTCATATCCATAAGGTTTCTTTCCATTGTGAATTCTTTGCACATCAGAATGATTTCAACCAAAACATTAATTTTGCTAAAACATATAGAATTCAGGCCAAAAAAAAGCAAATAGAGAAATCTCAAATTTCTCATATTGGCTTTTCTTTGTTCTTTTAAATAAGAACATGAAACTATTTATTGACAACTGCTCATCAGCACGTATAATAAATAATATAGAGTTGTATTACATCCCGGTGCCTACCTTGCTTTGTTTTTGCCTGACTTCTCTGGAGCTCAGGACCCACATGCTAAAAAGGCTGGTTCTGTATGTTCAAGTGATAGGTTGCGATAAAGAAGTAAAAACATGCTTGTCAGTAACATAGAAGGCTATGGAAGCATTGGTGAGTTTGCTTACCCATCATCTGTGCCCATAGTTAGGAAAACTGAACAACTCCAAATGCCTGTCTTTATCCAAAAAATATTAAAGGTCCATCAGATAGGGACATTACTGCGTGATAGGAAACAGACCTTTTAGTTAGTAAAGATGTGCTATCCTCACTTTCCAAAACAGGAAATGTAATTTTTTCTCTTTGAAAAATCACATCTGAAATGGTTTTCATAAGCTTGAGGTAAATATTAAAACACATTTTGAAACAAGTCCTGGCATCATTTACCATGTTTAAATCTTTCTTTCTTCTTTCTTTGCTAGGCAATGGAGTTAAGTGACTTGCCCAGGGTCACACAGCTAGTAAGAAGTTATGTGTCTGAGGCTGGATTTGAACCCAGGTCCTCCTGAATCCAGGGCTGGTGCTCTATCCACTGCACCACCTAGCTGCCTTGTCTTTCTTTCTTTCTTAGATTGGCTCTATCCTATAGCTGGAAGTATAGCAACCACTCATGGGTTTGATCTCACTACTGATTGGCACAGGAGTATTGCTTTGTTCTGTTTCTGACCTATGTTGGCTTGCCCATCCTTAGGCAGCCTCCTGGCCCCCTGCTCTGTGGAGCTCCACAATATTGGTGCCAGACCTCATTGCAGACATCTGATTGGCGTAGCCAATTACAACCTGGGACCACGGCACTTAAGGGATCCACCAGCTTCAGCTTCTCCAGTAGTGTGGATCGCAGGCGTGTGTCCCCATGCCTGGTGGATTAAACATTTCCAAAGAAACATCAGCAACATCAGTAAGATTAGGGTTGGTTTTTTTGTTTTCAATCCAACAAGGCTACTCTGTGACAACAACAGGCAAAATCTGTCACCCCTAAAAATTCTTTCTGGGTTATAATCAATTTAACTTTGGGGAGAAAACATTTTTTTTAATCCTTTTTGGAGAAATTTTGAGCTTTTTTAAATATCTTGCAGCAATTTGGAGCTACCTTTTAGATCCACAGGAAAAATGCCCATGACCACCTTAATTAATGGTGTCAGGATAGGTTCTGAAGAATTATGCATTCATCACAAAGACTACTTTAGCAAGGTTCCAAAGAATTAGTGTTTGGAAACTTCAGGATGGCAAATTTTCTGAGGCTAAAAGTTGGTTCCACGTGTCAAAATTCTATACGGACACAAATTTTTCTTAGAGACAAATAACCATAGGCATACATGAATTCAAAATAGTTGAGGTTCTGAAGCAATGATTGGAATGAATTAATATTAATAAAAGCTTTTCTCTGACATGGAGAAAGTGAATTCCAGTGTATCCCTGGTAGGAACAGCATCTACCAGAGGCCCTGCCATGTAGCCCAGGAAACACCCCGAGACTTGATAGGCCCAAGGGACAAAGATTTGAATCACTGCTACATTTCTCCTGGCCAAAGCCCTTTCCGGGGGATATACTGGGCCAGTGTGAACACTTATACCTTACTTGCAAACAGATCAGAGCTTGATTTGTTTTATTGATCGTCTAAACTTAGAAAGTAATAGAGAAAATGCTAAAAATACAGATTAAACCTAAAAATGTTGTACACAGATCTTTTTCCCCCAGAGAGCCAGTTAATATGTTAACCATTAACCAGCTCACCCCTGTTTTGGTCCCACTGTATTCTGTCTTCTTCAATCTATCCCTATCTACTGACTCCATCTCTGGCATATACAGGCCCATGTCTTCTCCACTCCCAAAACCCCCTCATGATCTGTCCATCCCTGACAGTTACTGTCCTATGTCTCTCCTCCCTTTCATGGTTAAACTCCCTGAAAAGCCACCTACATTCAGTGCCTTCATGTCCTCTCTTTTCACTTGATTCTTTGCATTGTCTGGCCTCTGCATTCTGATGTCATCATCCAACTGAAACTCTGCCTTCCAAAGTTACCAGTTAGTTGCCTAATCTAATGGCCTTTTCTCAGTCTCCTCCTTCTTTAGCCGTCCACAGCCTTTGTCCATCACCACCTTCTCCTGGGTACTCTGTCTTCTCTAGACTTTTTGTGACTCTGTTCTTTTCTGGTTCCCCTCTTCATCCGGGTCGTCTCTAACTGTAGGTGTCCCCCTGAACTCCCCCTTATGCTGTCTCCCAGAGTGATCTCATCAGTTCCCATGATTCAATTATCATCTCCATGCAGATGATCCCCAAGTCTGTGCATCCAGCCCTGAGCTTTCTCTTGACTTCCAATCCTGCATCGCCATTTGCCTTTTGGGCATCTCGAATTAAGTGTTCTGGAAGCGTCTCACACTAACCCAACATGCTCCAAAAAGAACTCTTTATCTCCACCCCCAAACCCTCTCATCTTCCTAACTTCCCTGTTACTGGTGAGGGCACCACCAACCTCCCAGGTACCCAGCTTCATACCTGTATCATCCCTGACTCCTGACACACACTTCACACACACAGTCTGTGGTCAGATGCTGTTGTTTCTACCCTTTGCAGCATCTCTTGAATATACCCCCTTCTCTCCTCTGACACTGCTCCCACCCTGGAGCAGACCCTCATCACTTCATGCCCAGACCATTGCCATAGCCTGCAGGGGGCTCTGCTGCCTCAGGGCCTCACCCCACTGCCGTCCATCCTCCATTCAGCACCAAAGTGATCTCCCTAAAGCAGAGATCTGACCATCTGCTCAAAACCCTCCAACGGCTCCCTATTACCTTCAGCATCAAGAATTAAATCCTACTTACCACTGAAAGCTGTTCATGCCCTGACCCCCTCCTCCAGTCTTTCCTCTTGCCCCTCACTCCCCTCTACACACTGAAGTCTGGCTCCCGGGCCTCCTGGCTGTTCCCCCACAAGATGGTCCAGCTTCGTCCCATTCCTCGCCCCCCAGAAGGTTCTCCTCACCTCTAACTGAGCCTCTCTCCCTTTTTTCAAGACTCCATTCAAAGTCTGCTTTCTGCAGAAGAGCCTGCCTTTCCCAGCTACCCCACAGCAGCTAGCGCCTTCCCTGTGCATTATATTCCTTTAGTCGCTGTAATCTTATATACACATTGTGTCTTCCCCATTGAAGCATGTCCTCGTTAAGAGCCGAGATTTCCTCCCCCTTTCTTATGTCTGGTGCCTAGCACAGTGCCTGGTTCATAGAAAGCCCCCAACAAATGCTTATTGATGACCTCCTGGTCAAGTAAGGGTGACAGAGGCTGGTCCATCAGAGTCAGTGCCCTCCAGGCTTGGTGATGATCCCCTGACCAAGCAAGTCACAGCACCTCTCTGCTAACCAGACGCATTTGTGTATGGGGACTGGGCCAACTGAATCTACCCGGAGCAAGACCCTTATTCAGTACCTTCTAGCCAGGCAATGTGCTAAGAGCTGAGGTTACAAAGAAAGGCAAAAACCAAAACAAAAACTAGTTCCTGCTTTCAAGGAGTTGTAACAAGGGACCAAGAGAAAAATAAGTAAATGTATGTATGTAGATGTATATGTACATAAATACATATATATACAGACACGTATATATAGACACACACACTCTAATCATATAGAGGTAATATTAAGATGGAAGGCAGTAGCATTGTGGGGACTGGGAAAGGCGGGATTTTGGAGAGGGCCTGAAGGAAGCCAGGAGACAGAGATCAGGAGCCGTACCAACCAGCAGGCCATGCAGTAGTCTAGGAGCGAGATGATGAGGGCCTAGGTAAGAGACGGGCAGTGTCAGGAGAGAAGGGAGCATGTACAAGACCAGGAAGGTAGAAACAACAGGACGTGACGACTGAATATGGCGGGTAAGAGTGAAGAGTCAAGGATGCACTGGATTGTAAGCCTGGATGACTAGGGGGACATCAGAGAATCGAGAAGTTTGAAAGAGGACAAGTTGGGGGGGGGGAGACAATTCCATTTTGGAATACCTAGAGAACATCCAGTTCAAGGTGTCCAGTGGGCAGTTGTAGATGGGAGCTGAGAGGTCAGAACTGGAGCTATACATTGGAGAATCATCAGCATTGAGATGGTGGTTGACTTCATGGGAGCTGAGGACATCATCCAGTGAGACCGTACAGAGGGAGAAGAGAAGGGGGCCCAGGACAGAGCCCTGGGGAACACCCACAGTCAGCGGGCAGGATGAAGATGAGGATCCAGGCCTGTTCAGTGGAGGGAGGGTGATGACATCACCCCTGTAAGGAGCTTTGTGTGTGGCTCCTGAAACCTGAGATTGTCCAGGTTGATAAGAAGGAACAGGTAAAACCATACCATGACATCCAGAACGTCAGGGCCCTTCAGCTTCATCCAAACCTTAGGCATCCCTTAACACCCCCACCACACCTGGATTTAAAGAACTTCTGTACTTAACAGCATCCCCCAGGCTCCTGTCACACCAGGGACCCCCAAAGGATCCATCCACCTAGAAGCATAACAGACCCTTGTTGACCGACTGGCTTGTTTGGGGGCCCAGAATAAGCTTCAACCCTGGAGACCTAAAGCAGGTCATCCAGAAGTCTCTCTCCAAGCCCTCATGACTCCTTGAGGTCTGTG